CCTTTTTCCCCAAATGAAACTCTTAGATCAGCTAGTTGTGAACACATCAATATTAAAAAGACCTAATATCACGTTTATAAGTATCATAGCTTAATAAATGTAAGTCTTTTAACAATAAACTGTGAAAAAAATTTAACACATCGTCACAGAAACAGATAAAAAATTCCCTCGCTGAATTAAAATTATTGAAACGAAGACATGACAACTAGTCAATTTTGTGTCGTCAAGTGAAGTGAAAATGTGATGAGTACTTGCCTTTAGTGGACGGGTTCCAGGCATTTTGATGGTGATGATTCTTTCAGATAGACTGTCACTATTCTGCTCGTAAACATTCCATGGATCCGCAGCCGTGCAGAAAAAAACATCGCTGCACATCAGATAATATAGGAGGACAGTGAACAAACTATCGCGACAACAAAACCAACGTAAACCCATGGAAAGTCCAGTTTGTAGCGAGATACGCTAGTTAAAAAGAAGCCAAAAGGAAAACTGGTTTATCTTAAACAGCTGATCGAAGGTTTCCGAGAAATTGCGATCACAAGTCAGGCTGACACTTCCTGAAAGTAATCCGAAAAAGTTTACGCTTTGGTCAGTTTCAGGGGAAGCTCACTTTGAGGTTAAGATATGCTAATGTATGCAAACTGACTTCCCAGCATTCCCACTGGTATACAGATCGAAAGGAAAAGGTTTGAATCATCAAATTGTGATCAATTGTTGAGAAAAGTATTCCCAAAAGTACTTATCACGATCTCTGGTGTATTCATTAATTGAAAGAATGGAAAATACAGATGAATACGAGGAATACAACTATGACGAAAGTCTGCACTCAGCTGGACATTCGCGCAAAGGAAAATCGAAGAAGGAGGCAGGGCAAAACAAAAGCACGGGAGAACATGGCCAAGGACACGCAGGTAGAAAAATCGTAGAGAACATTCAACATGGTGAAGAAAAAAGAAAAGAAGAAAATAAGAAATCAGAAAAATAACGAAACCTTTGCCTTGGAAAGAGGAGTTTCATCGAAAAATGAAAATATTTGATGGCGTACGCGTGTGGTTGTAAAAACTCTCATTCCCCCCCTGGTTAGTTTGCTGGAAGTGGATTGGAACAACGTATAGGAGAAAAAAATTAATTTTTGCTCAAGGACAGTGTGGCAGAAAACTGCTTGGAAGAAGACATAACAATGAAACCACGATGAAAGATCTGTAGTGGACATTGCGAGTAAAAAATGGAGAAGGAGGTCGGGGGGAGTCAACAGAATAGACCTTCGACCTTAATCACGATGCCCGTCAACTTTGCACGCGCTCTAGGATCGATGGGATAAAAGCTATGTCACGTGGTATTTCAGGGGGCAAACCAGTGATAAAATTTGCCAATACAAGTAATGGCTGTCGAGTTTGTTCATTCTTTAAAAACAAGACGACGATTTAAAAGTAATTGAAAACATTCATATTGAGTTTTGGCAAGATTTTCGTCATTACTGTTTGCCATGAGGACATCTGTGGTCCCTACTGTGTACAAATAAGGAACAATGATCACCTCCACCCATATTTTGACATTATTGTATTTAAGATGAAAAGGTTTTCATTTCCTATTGTCTGGAATAAACAAACTCAACCTCGATTTCTTCCAAATTATGGCAATTTTTTTCACTTGTTTGCCCCCGAGAAACCATGTGACATTGCTTTTATCCCATCAGCCCTTAAACACGTGCAAAGATGTCAGGTATCGTGAATAAGGTCTATAAGAGAAGTCATTATGTCATGTTGCCATGGTAGCAAAACTTTTGGATCTCAACAAACCGTTGTCCTGCAAATATGGCAGAACAAAATGACATGTATGACTTTCCCGTGCGTGAACTTGCACTCAGGAAGAAACCGGTAGCCCATACTCTCTTCCTTCGTTCAACAATCCAAATGGCCATCTCTGTCAAAGAAAGATTGTTGAGATCCAGAAATCTTGCCACCATGATAACCTGATGTCACACTTATGCCCATATTTTATCATCTGACCATCAAGTATTTGGTTATTTTGTATTTCATCATACGTGTAATTCGCCATTTAATGTTTTCATTTTTGGAACAAACTAATTATTAATATTATTTCAAGTTTGGTTATAATGAGCTTATTGTATTGTCATTTCAAAATTTAATAATGTTGAAAGGAAGAAAGCTTTCCAAATAAATATTTTGCCTATATTTTAAGCTGATAATCTATAATCAATGTCTTGTGATGTCTGTGCAGTCGTTGAACTTAATCTTTACTGGGAACCCAGTGAGAAAATTCATAAAGAAAACCATTGTCAATGATTTGATAGCCCCAGAGGCCCAGAACGCTGTTGCATTAATAAGCTTGAGATAAATAGGGTTTCTTTGCAATTTCTCCACTTATTTTTTTCCTCCTATTCCATAGTCTTCCTTTTGCCCAGTTATCCATGATACCATGCAAGAAAATCCTCTGGTGCAAAGGAAATGAGTTGTAGAAAATCCTCTGTAAATCTCACACTGCTTCAGGCAACTGGTCCCTGACTCCCAAGACCTTAGTCAATCTGAATATCATGTCTATGACTAGTAATAACCAAAGGTTAGGGAGTGTGGGTGACAGCGATCGAAGGTCAAAACGCTTTTGCTGTAATGCTGTGTTTTGTGTAAGTTTCACATGGCAGACGGTCAAAAAACGTGTGATCAGATTACAAAAGGTAGAAGGTCAAATCACACATGATCAAATTTGCGTTATGTGCATTCCATTCATTCTTAGTGGAAGCCCATTCAAATGCTGGCTACGTACATCTGCGACGCATGCA